ACAGTGTTGAAGAAACCCTTTCAGGAAAAAGGGAATGCTCCTTAGTCTGCAGGACCCATTCCCCCTTAGTTTGTGTCTAATCAATCATTTACTTCATTCCTGGTGAAGAGATTGTTCTATCTGAATATATCCAGGAAGTAGATGGTAGCTCTTGAAAAAAGCCCTGAATGAAATGGTGTCATTTCAATAAGCAGAGTATCARTTTTGGACTTAACACCTGGAGACAGGTGCTTACTTGGCAGAAAATGGTGTTAATTTGGTGTTGACCCTCCAAACTCCTTTATTTTAGTTTGAAAACCCCAAGTTGCCTCAGTATTCTTGCTGTGGTGATCTGTAGCAATAGCTGTACCTAATATCACCATAGTTTTGTTATGTTTGCTGGTGTCATGAGCTGCTTTCTTTAGAGTTTATTAGGATAGGCTCACCGTAAGTATAACTTATGGAATTCTCAGAATCACATTTTTGATGTTTATTCTTGTGCAACTGAAGAAACTTCAACTACCATACAAAAAGCTCTATCAATCTATTGCTCTGCTGTCTTATCAGTCAGTTTTGGAATTGTGAAAAAAAACACCTTGTCCCTTGCTACCGATGTTTAGGTAGGTAGTGACTGTTCATTTAAAATTAATCTGAGGAGTAGGAATTTTCTGAGTATGTTGTGATACTGGAAATCAAATCTTTGTTTTGTTTGTTTGTTTGTTGTGCTTTTTGTTGTTTTGTTTTTTTTAAATGCCATGGTGTATCTGTAGACTGTTGTGAGAGTAGCAACATGAGCAGGAAGAAATTTTTAGTGAGATCATTCAAAGTTTTTTCTCTCAGAAGCTGTTGTATATTTGGACATCCACCTGTGTGATCCAGATGATGTGTAACTGTGGTATATTTTCAATGGATCTTGTTTTTTTATCTTGGGTACCTAGATACATTTCTATCAGTACAGAAATTTTTTGAAAGCTTCTAACCATCTTCCAATTTTCAACTCTGCCCCTATACTACCTGTCTCTTTCCTACTTCTTCCTCTGTACTAAACCTGCCCTTTTGCAGATGTTTGATAGATCACTGGAAAGGAATGGCTCCTCTTCAG